GATAAAGACTGTCAATTCTGACTCAAATCCAAACACGGCCTGCTGCAGAATCAGGACTATATTTCCTTGCCCTTGTAGCTTAAGGTTCAACGTATTGTAACGTCAACAAGATAGTAAAACTTGAGCAACCAGTCACAGTCTGAAAGCTCTATGTGTTTCACACTGCTCTTATCTAAAAATTACATAATCTCATTAATGCAGGTGGCAAAATGAGACACAATTGAGCAAACAATGTGCATCAATAGATCAGGGTATTGGAAATCTACTTCCTCAAGTAGTGACTGAAATTGATGGCGATTAAGGGCTCAGGCAAGAATCCAACTGACAATGTGAATGACCAGTCCCATTACATTTCTGAATTCAGTTCCACAAGATTACGCACAAAATGCCTCCTGATGCATAATGCAGTGAAAGTTCAAAAGTGGGTGGTTCAGCTGTTCTGACAAAAGTAAGGAATCCTCTGTATTTACCAACCACACGAGGTGCACCGTCCGCACGCACAGACATAAGATTATCCATCTGGATTTCTTTCTTGTAACGGGGTGGCACTCACCTCCCGTGAACGCCCCCTGTTCAGCTGAATGCGGGTTCCTGCACTGCCTCAGTCTTAAAAGCCTTGCAGCTACTCAACCCTCTGGCTGAGTCACACAGTCTCGTGTGCATTCACAACCACCTTTAGAAAATTTCAGTGCTCATCAACCACTTTCTCTTTGCCTTTTTACTGTTGAGGGTTATGGAGTTCACCATTACATATATTATAGAAAGATTTCTTGACCAATCAAATAGAAGGAGAATATGCACAACCCCCAATAAGTGGAGAGGATGGATGATTGTTAAGATGACCAGTTAAAGACAGAAGACAAAAAACAAACAAACAAAACCAAAACACCTTGACATGAATAATTAGCATTTTTAAAATTTGGAATTATTCAATTTTTCACTTTAATTTAAAAAGTTGTGTGCATTTTGGAAATGACAAAAGAACCATATTTGGTTCCATACTGAGCCATATTTGGTGCTAGAGCCATAGGTCGCAGACCCCTGTACTAGAGGCTGGATCACACCCATTGAAGCGGAGTCCTTCTGTTGAAATAAATGGGCACCAGGATCTGGTCCCAGATGAAAATTAGACCTTGGCCTCCTGTAATTTCTATGGGCTGAATTACACAGCATGGGAAGCAGGAGTACTAGAGGCTGTGGCAGTTGGAAATGTTATGCCTGCAGAAGTCAGGCAATCACGATTTCACTCAGAGGAGACCACTCATAGCTGGTTTTTTATATACCTTGGTATATGTATGGGCATTGGAAGTGGGACTGTGGACCCACAATAAACACGCCACCAATGGGAAGTAGATGAGAGAGCTGGATCCTTGATAAATTCTTTCAGAATGAGAACAATATTTATTGAAATTGCAATATTTTGATGAAAAACAACAAAAATATTTTGAAGATATTTTGCAGGATTTTTTGCCATGTTTCCACCAGCTCTGTGATTAAACTCAGAAACAACATGAATAAAGACTTGTCTCTATCAAGTTTCTGTGTATAATTTTGTGTTGTTTAGTTTTGAGGCTAAGATATGCTCAGGCAAAATGACTAGCCCACAAAGTTATTATTTTGAAACAATAGTCTATAATAACTTCTCTACAAAGTTCTGAGGGTCACACTCCTTGCCATTAATAGAGAGATGTGGCCCACATGAACTTTTGGTCCCAATAGGCAAATATTCTGACTTGATCGAACTGATAAAGCATATGAACCTAGTCTTGCCGTAGTGCAGTTATATTGTCCTCACACGTTTTAAAACACAAAACTGAAGTTTGAGACTAACAGATGTGTGGTGCCTAGATGTTGCTTTAATGCTTACAACTTGGAAAAAAGGATGTAGCCAATGTAATAATGAATCAAAGTATGCTTCTAAGTACTATAAGGCACTGTATGACATATATATTATATCATTAGCTTTTAAAACCCCTTTTATCAACTATAACACTCAGTTATATAAGACACTTTTTGAATGTTCAGAAAGAAACATAACCATACAGATGAATGGTCAGCAAAGCAGGATATCATCTCAAGACACCAAATGGCTAAAATTTCAAAAAATCAGCGTCCGAAGATTCTCCTGGAGTGAAGAAGCTATAGGCCCAATCTCTGGTATGGCAAGAACCGAGTGGAAGAATGCTCCCACCCACCGCAAATACATGCAGTGCTGGGGCCAAGATCTGCCCCAAAGTGGTTAAAATAGAGATGACAAAGGGTGTGTCTACACTGGAGGGCTTAACTTGAAATAAGCTACGCAAATTGAGCTACGTCAATTGCATAGCTTATTTCGAAATAGCTTATTTAGAAATAAGGAGCGTCTACACAGGACTTATTGTGAAATAGAGCACTCTTCCTCTGACTTCCCTTACTCCTCATACAATGAGGGTTACAGGAGTCGGAGTAAGAAGTCCTCAGGCTTGACAGTATTTTGTCACTGTTTTGAATTAACTGCCTGTTGTGTAGACATGGACTAAGTTATTTTGGAATAGCACTAGTTATTTCAAAATAGTGTTGCAGTATAGACATACCCAAAGAAAGTGATTAGCATAATATCACGTCCAAAAGGAGATGAGCACAGATTTAAAACGAGAGGCATCAAAGGGTTATGTGCTGGGGATTAGGATGGTGTGATTTGGGACAGATTGTGTTTTCCATTGGACTGTTATGCATTCTCCAGTTCCCAACTATGAAACAAAGGGTATGTCTACACTTGCACCCTCTTTCGAGCAGGGATGCAAATGAAGACATTCGAAATTGCAAATGAAGCTGGGTTTTAAATATCCCACGCTTCATTTGCATAATCTCGTTATGGCGCTATTTTGAAATAGCGCTATTTTGAAATATAAAACACGGTATAGATTTGGTTACTTCGGGAGAACACTCTTCTTCCGAAATAACTGTTAAACCTCGTTTTATGAGGAATAAGGGTTATTTTGGAAGAAGTGTGTTCTCCCAAAATAACTGCATCTACAATGTGTTTTGTATTTTGAAATAGCACCATAATACAATTATGCAAATGAAGCATGGGATATTTAAATCCCAGCTTCATTTGCAATTTCGAATGTCTTCATTTGAATCCCTCTCTCAAAAGAGGGTGCAAGTGTAAACATACCTAAAGGAAAAAAATGGGCAAAAGCACATGACAAAAAATACACATGGGCAAAAGCACATGACAGAAGCACAGTGTAAGGTGCTTCAGGAAGGATGACTCAATGTGCTTGCCTATCTTTGATCACAAAAGAATCAATCCAGGATCCTTGTGAAGTAAAACCACTTAAATAAAACACCTTTCTTCCTCCCAAATGCATCAGCCTAAACAGTTAATCACACTCACTGCACGTGGTCTAGCCACACCACGAGGACATGAAAAAGCCCAAAACCATGCAAGAGGTGTTCCATGCAGAACAGCTGCTGCAGCACTCACATTGAGGAGACCTGATGTTCAGTTTCAAATGCACTGTCATCCTTGTCATCAGCCTGTAAGGCTATAAGGCTCTCATTCTTGAATTTACTACAGACCCAGCAAAAAACAAGCATGAATGAGATATCAAATGAAAACAGGGAATAATGACTAATGCACTGGACATAGAGAACTGATCTAAACTACTGCTTAAGTCAATGTAACTTATATTGCTCAGGATTGTAAAAATATATATCCCCCTGTGAGATGTAAGTTACACTGTCTTAAAGCCGTATTCATACACAGCTCCGCTGGCCACCTCTTGTGGAAGTGGAATAATTTTGCTGAAGGGAGAGTACCAGAAGTGCTTCAGCAGTGCAGCTAGTGTAGGCTTGTCTTCAGCATACTGGGAAACCACAAGGCAGTAAATTATATATATGAATCCTGGAGCAATAAAATTTCACCTATTCTGAAGAAAGGGTCTTTTTAATAGGAATTGGTTGTTTTTCTATAAAATTTAGCTTGCAAGGTAGGAAGTTTCCTACATGACAGGCAGAATTTGGAGGCTTCTGGATTGCACTAAGTATCTTCCATCAGAAATGTTGAAAGAACTTCATTCTTTATTAGCTTAATGTGCTTCAGTTCCTGGTTTCCCAATTTGAGACTCTGTTGCTCCTTCTTTTCTCTAACAAAACCCTGGACTAGAATGGCACTGGCAATAAAGAAAATCCAAACACCTACTATTTTTCATGTTTGTTTTATAATACCAATAAACTCCTCAGGCAGTACTAACCAGCTAGACTGAATAGCTCGCCTTGTTCCTGGGGCTCTGATTCCTTCCCAGTTAGTCTTTATTGCATCTCGTTTGTTAATTCTTAAATAGAACCATCACATCAACTCAAAATGGCAGCTCAGCTTTGAAAGAAAAGCTGAATATACATTTTGGAGCACTGATTGTAAAAAGAAAATGCCTCACATGAATTCATTTCAACCACACAACCAATAACTTTGCACACATACAATAAATCTTGATGTTTATGATCTCTCCAGGACCTCCCTGTAGAATTTGATTCTTCTACCATACGGATCTATCAAATGGAAATTGTGTCCCTATATTACAATAGATGAAAATTCTATCATTAAATATTGTTACGATCTCATTGCATGAATGTTCACTCTCAAGCTGTTCACATCAATTCCTATGGTAATACAGACTCAGGAATATATTTGTTTACTTTACAAATAACTTTGAAGGTTTTTTTTCTTGAAGATTAATGAAATATAGTACAGACAGGCAGGTATTCATAGGGAACATATGCATCTGAAAGGCAGGTGAATAAAAAGAACCAATGATCTACACATCTTTCTCTTTTCAACCCTCTAGTAGTGTTTTGCTTTTGTGTCCACTAAGAGAAACTCAGACTGAAGAAAGAAAGGAGGGGGAAAGTTAAATAATTGAACAGCGTGGCATGATTAAAGTCACTAATGTGCAGTGAGCATAATGGAAGGGTACAGAAACGGGAATAAAGGAATATTTCTTGTCTCAGGCACTTACTTCTCACTAAGATCTTCTATTCGTTGCCCATGGCCTAACATGAAGTTAGTGCTTGGCTGGCTGCAGGGACTTGCAGGAGCTGATAAAGTGCTTTTGATGCTCTGGGCTGAATGTCTGCGACTTCTCCTGCGTTCCAGCCCTCTTCGTTCATTGGAGCCAAGACTGGCCCTTCTTCTATCTTTCCGCCCATTGGGTGGGGGATCAGCAGTCTCATCTCCATCCTCATGTCTTAGTGTCATCTGAATGGAATGAAAGGGGAGACTTTTCACATGTTACTTCTGGATTCCCTATGTTTTCACTCACATTTTAACAATGAACATGTACCTGCATGTCATCCCCAACCATGAAGTCATCACGCCCAGCATAGCTGACTCTTACGACACTCATCATTATTACAGCTACTTCACTTTAACTACACATTCATCTTACTGATGCTATTTATACTATGGAATTACATAGACCCCCTCCTCTGCTGATCTTAAAGAGCTCTCCAAAAAAATTAGACTGGGATTTTTAAAGTCAAAGGGACTTAGATGTCTAGCTCCCATTATATTACAGTGGGATTTGGACATCTCAGTCCCTGGAAGAAAACCTGGCTCTATTCAAGTCAATGGCAAAATTCCTCTTCACTTCAAAAGAGACAGGACTTTACCCAGAGTTTTATGAATTCTCACCCAACCACTGGAAGTAATGACATACAACCCTTATTTTATAGATGGCAAAACAGAGCCACGGAGATATTAAGTGATTTAACAAAGTCCCACAGGAAGTCTGGGACAGATCCATAAACAAACTTCACATTTCTAGAAACTCAGTCTGGTCCATAGATTTTCATTCTCTCTAGAAAGAAGTTATGTGAGAGCCATGCAGATATTGTAAATCGTGCCCTACTTTAGAGCTTTACTAATGTTGCCATGATTTTGGCTCACCCAAGAAAGAAATTAACAGATTTGCACGCCAGCTTAATATCTTTATTGGTTTTCATGACTCTCTCCGTAAAGTTGAGAAAACCTGTCCATGGTATCATGATTGATCTAAAAAAACCAGAGGTTGTATCTGGACCTTATTCTCTAGTGAGCCACTCAAGTTTTCAGTTGGTGTGACTACATTCAGTGATGCAATCAATGGAGCATTAGGGCCACTATACATAGATTTGGTCTATCTCATCTAGCATGGGTGTAACTCAGGAATAACTCAATTAAAGTCAGTAGAGCTACACGGGGGTGAAGTTGGCATAAGAAAGGCCCAATCTCTGAAGCTGGACTTAATGCTAAAGACAGTTATTTCATTTCACCACACCAGAACATACATTCACATGAACTTTATATTACTTTAAATAAAGCAAAGTCTGAAATGTGTTTGATCATTAAGAAACCAAATATCCTATCTTTGCACATAAATATTTCACAGGTGGTGAATGCAGAGTCAGTCATTACCCAATCATTGCAAGTCAGGTAGGAATTGATCCAGTATAAACTCGTAAACAAGGACTCACTGGGCAATCAATTGTGGAGAGAACTGTGTGTGTGAAGTTGATCTAGGCTGGCCTTTTTTTTGGTGTGTGCACTGAATACTTTTGCATGTGGAAAGCACTTTTACTGACTTAGAGATTCTGATGTGTAACTAGCAGTCTGAGAAAGAGTTTTAATTGCCTTCAGAACTGCCTCTAAAGAGGCCAGTAAATGCTCAGTTTTACCTTGACGCATATTCTATGTCTAGTATGAAATGCATTTGTGCTGCATGTAGTCATGTACCGTAGTAGGTCAGATATAAGAATGTGTGTAACACTTCCAGCAACCAGATGTTTTTCTTTTAAAATAAAATAGATAACCAAGTTTCACCTAGGTTACATTCCCCCTTCAGCTTTGAAGTTTGCACAAGCTTCAAGATGCATAAAACAGGACATGTTATGTTACCTCATAAATGTTAAATTGCTCAACTAAGTCCAAGTCTGTTCCTTTCTTGTTCAAGTGTCTTTGTGAAATAACTTCAATGCCTAGCTCTTCCAGACAGTCCACCACGTCATAGAAAGAGTCCTGATCTGGCAACCCCGACAGTGTCTAAGAATCAAAGTGAAAACATTGACATCCATTTGTTTGGAAGAGAATTAAAAACATTTTACAAGAATCTATAAATGGTAGTAGTTGTGATTCTGATTAAACAAGAAATAAAGAACGGGGTGAGACACAGCTAGAAAAATAAAACATCAAGTGAAGCAAAGTCTAACAAAAACTGGTAAAGTGTAAAAATAGATAAACAAAACAAATTAATGTTACTAATTCATACAAAACTATTGAAAATTTGGATATATATATATATATATATATGCATGCATATGCAACCACACTTACGTTGCGGCCCTTGGCATGTGCTGTGAGTATCCAAAGTTGAGTAGCCCTGAGTTATTAAAAGCAAAAATTAAAAGCAAAGAGAGAGAGAGAAAAAATACAAAAAAGATTTTTTGGAGCAAGGCAAGCTGGTTTCCTACTGAATCCTGTCTCTTTGACCTTACTGAAAAGGGTGAACCACAGAGCTGACTGATGCTCAGCTAGCAGTAATCATCCCCAGCCTACTGTCTTCAAGTCTTTAGTAATAGTAGTTTTCTTAATGTACAAGTTGCTCTAGACAGCAGAAATATCAGTGCCTTCCTTCCTACTCATTCTTTAAAGTCTAAGGGTATGTCTAAATTACATGGCTCCATCAATGGAGCCATGTAGATTAGGCTGATCGGCAGAGGGAAATGAAGCCGCAATTTAAATAATCGCGGCTTCATTTAAATGAGCCGACAAACAGCTGATCAGCTGTTTGTCGGCTCAGTGCGCTAGTCTGGATGCTCCCGCGCCAACCTGAAAGCCCTTTATCGACCTCCCCGTTATGCCTCGTAGGATGAGGTTTACCGGGGAGGTTGATAAAGGGTTTTCATGTCGACAGGGGAGCATCCAGACTGCCCCGATCTTCCGACAAACAGCTGATCGGCTCAGTGCAGAGGAGCCTTTTCCAGGGAGCCTGAAAAACCCCCAGTGGCAGGGGGACAACAGCAGCAGCAACCAGGCAGTTCTGGCTGGAATCCCGGGGAACTCTGGCAGCAGGGTGGGAGCCCAGCCTTGGGAGCTCCAGGGAGAGGAGCCTGGGAGTGGAGCAGCCAGCAGGGGAGCACTGACCTCCCCTGGTTCAGCAAACTCCCTGGTTTGGGACCCCTCAGGTCCCGAGGGTGCCAGACCAGGGAGGTCCAGCCTGTATAAAAATACATTACACCAAAATAACTTTTTGAACTCCCATTTTGATTTATATCTGGATTTGATACAGGGTTTTTTTTTTCTTATCATAGCTTAGACTTCCTTTTGCAGGGGAATTCACAATGCTGTCATGAGATACACACTGCTACAGTGCGATGAAGTCATAGAACAGTTTGCATTGCAATACACCAACTCCACCTGGTGTTGAAAGTGACTGCCACGAGATGAATCCATTATTATGGCTCAACAGCAGAACCAAGTCAGGGGGAGAAGATGAACTACTGGAGGGAGATTTGTTTAAACAGAAGTGGGCCTGGTTCTCTGTTATCCTGGACTTCTGGCAGTCATTTACATCCTTGCAAAGTGAGCACACTGTACTGCTATTTTGATCTGGTAGGATGTTACACTTCTTTTATGTTGTTGTTAATGACTATGCAAGGTGCAACTATAACCCACATACCTAGTGGGTATGGTTCACTGTCCCATGTAGTCCCACTTAGACCACTTGCAGAGAGCAAGCGAATGAGTGAGCTCTACAGCATTAACTGAGAGCCAACCAACTTTTAGCTCAAGCTGTAGAGGCTCATGCATGAAGCTCCAGAGTCCCAGGTTTGGTTCCGCCTGGTGGCATTACACAAGGCAAGTGAGAATCAGGCCCAAATATGCTTAAGAACCCAATTTTGCCACTCAGGCTGAGTAGCACCTTATCATAAATACTATGCAAGTCACTTTGGAGCAAGGTGTCTCTCAGTGTGACTAAGTGTGGCAGAACTGGTCTCATAAATCAGGTCCACACGCTATGTCCCCCTCCTAAAAAAATTGCCAAGGAGGAATGATGGGTTCATCACTAGAGAAAACAACTGTGGGATGAAAATAAGTCAGTGTGGGATGAAGTAATAAAACAAATGCTAGTGCCTGACAATTTCCAGATAAGATTAAGAGGCATAACTCCTCAGAAAGAAGGAACCCAGTATAAAATAAAACAGGGCATATATAAAAAAAGACTCCTGAGGACATGTTTTCGCACTGTAGTGGGACTTATATACATATGTAACTTGATAGATGCCTTTCAGAAGGCTTCTTATCCTAATGAAGTCAATGGGAGTTTTGCCTTTGATTTCAACAGGACTAGAGGTTGGCTTTAAATTAAATGTCATGACAACAGCAATGCTACTGTGGGAACTGGGCCTACTAGGTTGCTTCCAAAGGCAATGCCAAGTACTAAAGGAGAAGCTAGTTTATCAAAAAGCTTTTACTGTAGCCATGAACAAGAGCTTAAGAAAGTACTGTGCAGTAGGAGTACGTTCACATTCTGATTTATGACCAGAACTGACAAACTGAAGGCATTAGAACGAATATAATGAATTTAACAGGTCAGAATGATAGTAACACTATGACCTATTAAACAAAACTATAAAGCACAATAATATTTTAGTTCCTAAATGAATTCTGGTTTTCTATCTTCTTTAAAAGGTCAGTTTAAAAATGTGACTCATTTGATGATTGCTTTAGAGATTAAGAATTTCTTATCTATCTAGATTTCCATTTTTATAGACTTTTGGTTTTCTTTTGTGAGTGTATATGTATCTTTTAGATAACATTTAATTTTACAATGGAACAGCTCTTGTAATAAAACCCTTTGAGAATGACAAACAAGACCGAAAAAATCATGGCACCTTATGTTTTTTCTTTCTTTTCAAAGTACTCGGACCTGCTAAATTCATTATCCTTGGTGCAAAGAGAAAAATATCAAATGTTCTGGAACTATCAAATTGTGTACAAAGCTAGCCTTTGTAACCATGGGATCTTATTACCATTATGCTTGTCTACTCTGCCTCCTATGGTTTGTTACATTCATTTCTTTGTTTCTAATTAAATTTTGAGCTCTTTGAGAAAGGATCTGTCTCCTCCTCTGTATTTGCACAATACTTCACACAATGGAGTCCTGATCCTGATTGAGACCATTACAGAAATGATAAACAAGAAGAATAACTTTGTTTTATTCATACTGGCAGATTGACACAATGCTGTAAACTAACCTTCAGAAATTTGCTCCTAAGTTTACTGATCCATAAACTGCTACTCCCGCTAATGCTCGCACTACTGTCCTTATCTATCAAATAATAAATCTCCTGTGTCCCTCCCCAAATATCTGACCCCCACTACATCAGTCATGTCAGACTCTTAAACACCTAGGCCCCTCTTTCTATCTGTCTAACCCTCACACCATTCCGAAGTACCACAATACCTCAAGTGAATATGTTCTCCCTCATGCCTCCACCTCTACCCATCTGTTCAGCCCTCTTACCTCTCCAGCCAATTAATTTGAAAAGTGACTTAACTTCTCTTTCAGTTACCCTAATATCTCATTTTCCTCTCTAACCTGGAGCTCTGAAAGTGTTCTAAGGGATGGAAAAGAGAAAATTGGAAAGAGAAGACTCGTTTCTGAATTTTACAGCTGTTGTGGGTTGAAATTAAAGAATATTTATTTGAATATTTGTATGAGTGTATTGTATAAAATAATCATGCAAAGTTATACTTAGTGCCTCTGACCATGGTATCTGCTGTTGTTAATGTTACATTTACGAAATGGAAGTACAGTGGTGGCTCTTGGCACAGTATTAAAACATCAGGTAGAGTACTCAAGAGTTGCTGATGGGGAAGCCAAAGGGGCAGTTGCCCTAGGGCCCGGTGATTTAAAAGGGCCCAGGGTTCCCAGCTGCCACCTCCACTACGGCAACAATGGCCAGAGCCTAGGCCCTTTAAATTGCCGCTAGCGTCCCCATCGGCGCAGGCTGGGCAGTGCTGAAGGGCTGGCTAGCTCCTAGCCCTATCCCTTCTATCCAAGGCCCTCCACTCCTGGGGCAATTCTGTCAACTGCTCTGATTCTACTCCAGATAAGGTTAATTCAGTCTGGCTTTGAGTGGCTTGCACTGTATGTTCTTGGGACAAGACTGGTCTTGCTAGATGTCTTTGATGTAACTGAAAATAAATGAGCACTAATATCGCTAAAGACATTAATGTATTAAAACAAACCTTGTTAACTAGAGTCATTGCATAAACCAGCAGTTCAGTGTCAACCCCATCTTTTTCCTCCAGGATCTCCATAATGTTGGACCATGGCTTGGCTCCTAAGAGTAACACAGATAAAGTCATTAGAAAAACAGCTGGTAGACTCAAGTTCAAGTCTTATGTCTGAGCAATTCTGTAAAACCATACCATTTATTTAGCTAACCCTGAGGTAGATATGTAGAATCATAGAATCACAGGGGTGGAAGAGACCACAGGAGGTCACTGAGTCCAATCCCCAGCTAAAAGCAGGACCATTTACAATGAAATCATCCCAGCCGGGGCTTTGTCAAGCTGGGGCTTAAAAACCTCTACCAACGGAGATTCCACCACCTCCTTATGTAGCCCATTCCAGTGCTTCACCTCCCTCCCAGTGAAATAGTTTTTCCTAATATCCAATCTAGACCTCCAGCACTGCAACTTGAGACCACGACTCCTTGTTCTATTATTTGTCACCACTGAGAACAGCCTCTCATCATCGCCTTTGGAACCTCCCTTCAGATAGTTGAAGGCTGTTCACTATGTACTCAAGAAAGAGCCAAAACTGATTTATCAATGAAATTGAAGGACCAAAGTTCAGATGATTGTGTTTGAAGTAGATGTGAAGATCAAGAGGGAAATCAGACAGCTATCTATTATTTACGTAGAGAGACTAATTCAACAACATAAGCAGCAAGGTTGAAAGACATTATCCCAAGTGCAGAGAAATGATTCAGTTTCAGGCCAATCTTCACAGAAATCCACCTCCAAAATTTTATCCACAGGATACAGACTCGGAGTGACAATACAATTCATATAATGAAACACAAGAGGTTCTTCATCAGAACCTGTCTTTGATTGATCAATGACCCCAAAGAAAAGATGTTGTAGTCTAACAATCATTTTGTGGTTGTCATATACACCACATGAGTTATCATCACAGGACTGCGAGCAATCTCTCATTCACGCTGCGTTCAAATATATATCCTCTCTCTCATTCTCTCTCTCTCTCTCTCTCTCTCTCACTCACTCACTCATTCACAGATTGAGATTTCCCAGGGACGTAATTGAAAGCACCATTCACAAAGTGATGGCATTTTATAGAATGGAAAATTTTAGTCAGCAGAATGTTCTCATTTTCAATACTTTTACTTTAATTGATACCGATATTCTGCAAAAGGTACAAAAGGTCAGGGGGCATATTTTCACTGCTCAATATTTTTTCTTATCCATTAATTAAACCACTCTTCTGTAATGAGCTTTTCCATTCCACTAATCTTCTTTCATTTGCCTCTTCATATCAACAGACATTTTTGTGCAAGGAACGCATGTTTAGAAGACATGTGGAACAAATTCACTCTGCTCAAATAAGATATATGAACAGTAGGAATTATATCCTCACTACAAAATGTCTTTCTGTGGTTTCTATTATAAAAAAGGAAGAAAATGAGAGAGAGAGAGAGAGAGAGAGAGAGAAAGAGAGAGAGAGAGAGAGAGAGAGTTTGGACCTATAACAGTGCCATTTGTAAGGAAGTGAACTGCCAATAACATGACAAACTGATTACTTAATCCTTGCCTTGTGAGTCAGTGAAAGGACTTCAGGGGTGAGGAGGGGAGGAAATGCCTTTTATTCTATAGCCAGACAGTCCTCACTTGATTAGAACAATTCCATTTTGTATTTTAAATGCAGTATCTTGATATTCTATCATTTTACATTATCCTGCCTGTTTCCATATAAAGATGACATCCACAGTTACCCACGAAAACACAAACTTAGCTAGCCTGGGTGCACCAATTTCTTTGCTGCTTTCAGCGTGTTTAATGTTACTCTATCAACCAAGCACTGTTATCAGCAAGCCAGTCCAGCAGTACTTGCTTTTCAGAAGGCAATAGGCTGTTGTGATTTGTAAAAGGCCATTTCCTGACCCAGGACATGGAAATTCTGGATCAGATGCTCAGCTGGTGTAAACTGACATAGCTCTTGTGACTTCAATGGAGCTACTTCAATTTATACTAGATAAGGACATTTTGCATCGAGTCTGCCTATTTTCTCATTGTGAACCCGAATTGCACAATCAAATAGAAAGCATGAGGTGACCTGAAAGCTGCCTATCTTCTCTCATCTTGTTACTTGTGTGTGCATATGTGCTCACAAGAGGCTGCAGCAAGACATGGACACTTATCTAGGAGCCCGGAAAAACATTAAAAGCTGTATGTTTGCATCTTCATTTTCCCTCATTCTTTCTACCTTCCCTGAAGAGGAATGTTCATTTTATGGAAAGCTTTCAAACTTCTCAGACTACAGATGAGTTCAAACCAAAACCACAGATCTGAACACTCCCAAATGCTAGGGTAATTTGTATCCCAACCCAAAAGTCATAGTTTGCCACTAACCGTAATCGTGAGGCCTACTTTTCAGGTTAGGTTTAGCTTTGCTGAAAAGTTAAATCCATTTAATGATCAGCTCTTTGGGATTTTTTTTCTTTTTATACTGCTACCTACCTATATTTGTTAATTGTCAATGTTATGAGGTACACAAATGTTGATGCAAAAAAGGCATAGTGCTGAATTTCTGGCAACGTTTTTTTTCTGACAGCAGACTGTGACATAAAAGGACATATGGTGGTTGGCTGGACTGGGACTTATGAGCCTTGGTTTTATTCCCAGCTCTGTCACTGGTCTACAGGATGACTTTGGGCAAGTCACTTCACCTCTCTGTGCCTCAGTTTCTCCATCTGTAAAAAGAGGGCAATGATACTGACCCCCTCTGAAAAGTGCTTTGAGATCTTCATGTAGTATCAGTAGTAAAACTGACGAGAGAGAAAAAAAATCAGGCTCACTGTAGTGAACGGATAGAGGTTTCTTTCTTGGCCTTCCTACTGAATGGAATCAGAAACACTCTCCAGTATGTCATAGGCTTCCTATTGTGGACAGCTATTGGAAATTCTTCTTTAGCTTGTGATTTGGGGCAGGATCGTATCGTCTTCATCCACATTTTACTACTAAGTTCAGAAGTGGTCATGGATGGTGCACAGCACCTACAAGGTCCTAGATGATACAGGACACATTAAATACAGTATATCCAAATAGGGTATCTTCCTGAGTCTGTCTGTTTTTGGCCTCTCTTTAACACCATGTGCACATGAATTTTGTTTAAATCCAATAAAAAAGGAACATGAGTTTGGTGGGGTCAGCCAAGTCCTTATATACAGTTTCCACACCACAGATCAGCCATGCAAGGAAACACAAATAGTTTTCTGTCCATGAAAAGTCCCACAGACTAACAATAGTGGTGAGGAGTAAACAATTGGTACTGCTAGGGGAGAATTAATTCACTGACAAGGTTTATCTGTAGATTTCCACTAGTCATAAGCACTAACAAGTGACAACTTCTACATTTGGAGATGCCTTTGGGCCTTTTATGCATTAAAAAAACCCCACGTATTATGTGCCTGTATATCCTTTCACACAATCTTAGGAATACCAGTATTAAGCTCCTGAACATCTAGCTCTGCTTTGATGAGGAGGAAAATATGGACTATTCTTGTATTACAGGCCGCTTACAAGTCACATAGCAGCCAAAGCAGCAGAAACAACAAGCACAAACAGGATGTTAGTGTGCTCAGTTCGGACACCATGCATTAATCTCTGTATTAAAAAAGATGTTTGTGATAAAGTAGCAGCTGAAGGAACTGTAGAACTTCTACTCCACTTTCTAGCACCCAGCATCTATGTGCTTTAATTAAAGGGAGACAGTTACACTGTAGCTCAGAAAAGACATCAGAAAAAAAACTAAACAAGGGAGGACAAGCAAGAGTTTTAGGGACTGCCCAATTGCTCACTTATGAGCTACCTTTATCCATTATTAAGCAAGCAACTTCTATGGAACTTTGTATGTCAGTTTGCATATGGATGTGTTCTAGCAGAGAAACCACAGATGGGGTCACTTGGAAAGGGGGTTGAATTATTAAGAGGGTTTTGTTGTTGTTGCTAATCATATGTGCTACACATGTTAAAGAATTATGCCATATTTCAGCACTTTGCATGTGGATGAAAAATAGGGTTTTTTTCCAAAGTAGCATTGAACTTAATTAGTTAGTTCCAAGATTTATGATAATATTGCCAAAACAAGGCATGAAACATATTCTTCCTCTTTTCTTCCATCTGATAAGCAAATCGTTTAAAGCAGGCCTGCCACTGTTACAAGCGAGCAATGACCAATGACTGAAATTAAAAAGGCAGCATCTCCACATCTAAAAATGAAATGCTATTCCTCTGATGACCTTAAAAAATCCCAACCCAATCCTAACCAGAAAGAACAAGAAAACAGACTTCTCTTGTAGTTTCTTGTTTGACTTGAGGAATTTTTAATATAATTGTGAGAGGTTTTTTTTAAGCACAGTGGATATGTAATGATAAGTTAGTTGTGAATCCATGGTACAATATGCTGCCCCATTGGGGTGAGATTTCTAATAATCTCCCACTTTGCTTTCAACAATCAGCTATCTAACCACAAGCAAACCAAAATGTTATGTTGATTCTGAAGTTGTTTTATTACTTTTTGGGAGGGGAGGGGGCGAGTGAAATATAGGCCTAAGGCAATCATATGGGATATAAAAGCGGAGGGTATGATTTTTCCTTTCCCCCCCATAATTGAATCACGTTTGCTATCATGGGAACAGCTGATGATTTGAAGATATGAGAATGTAAGTGAGTTCAGAGAGCTGAGGAAATACCAGAATTGTCTGTAAAAAATAAATCATAGAACTTACTATTACATGAGCACTATTAGTACATTTCTACTGTACAGCATTCTTAGGTTTATAGGCTTTAATTCAAAACAGAAAACCAACCTGAATTGGCCACATTTTAAAGTATCCCCTTGCCTTCCAGCTGGCCACTGAGGATGTATAGCTCTTTAAAAAAATATATTTTCAATACACCCATTTTGATAGCTAGAAGTGAAAACTGGCAACTTTTTCTTCTCTCCCTGACATCACGCACTCTGCTTCCGTCCCCACCAATCATTTGTTTTACTTTAACCATAAGGAGTTATTGGCGGAAGTTTGGGAGCAAGGCAACCATTCCAGTGATGGGGATGTTGTTTTAATCTCCATGTGTGTGAGACCACAACAATAGATCTACAGCCTTACAAACCTGCATGAAGCCAAAGGAACAGTTCAAATCAAAAGAGCATGACCTTGGAGGTTAGCAATATTTTATGGAAAGAACCACCCAAAAAAACCCACTACAACATTTTTTTACCTTTTCTTACTGTATGCAAATTGTTTAAATTCAAGACTTTTTTCCCCTAGACATGAAGGATAACAGGTTTCAGCATAATGTCTGCTGGAGAATTTTACTGCTATGTAACAACAGAACATTTTAGAGGTCTGAGTTTGTTTAGGTTTTTGGACAACATAAAGTGATGATATACTTTTTCTCCATATTAGATGGCTGCTATTATGCACAAAAGAGAAAGCATGATTCTGTGGTTAGGGTACGCGCTTACAAATTGGAAGACCAACATACAATTCTTTGCTTTGCCACACAATTCTTGTGTGACCTGAGGCAAGTCATTCAGTCTCTCATCTGTAAAATGAGGATAGCAGCCCTTTTCTACCTCACAGGGATGTTGTGAAAATTATTACACAAAAAATTGTGAGCCCCCTAGATTCTCCAGCAATAAGGACAATAGAGATAGGTATGGGATCATAGACAGACTCATTATGGAGAAATTCCACATAGTCTTAGAAATAAAACAAAGTAACTTCTTCTGGCTGATTACATTGATGACAGGTTTCACCAATGTGTTTAATGTATATTTTCAACATGTGCCAATTCTAACATGATTATTCATGTTAAATAGTATCTTATCCCACCAGCAACATTAACAAAACCCAATTAATTATTTAGAGAGGAAGGTACTTCTCTCAGTGATTCAGTGCTGTATTTAATACTTTAAACAAACTTTAAAAACTTGAAAAACAACAAACAGTCTTTTAGCACCTTAAAGACTAACAAAACATGTAGATGGTAACATGAGCTTTCATGGGCACAACCCACTTCTTCAGATGACCAGAGTGTTGGAAGTTATCCGAAGAACTGGGTTGTGCCCATGAAAGCTCATATACCATCTATATGTTTTGTTAGTTGGGTGCTACTAGACCATTTGTTGTTTTTTAAGTTTTTCCTGTTACAGACTAACTCTGCTACCCTTCTGAAGCTTTTAAAAAAATTAAGCAGCAGTTTTAGAAAAGGAATGTGGGACTAAAAACTATCGAGGAAGATTCCTTTGGAATGAAAAGACAAACATGTACCACGGGTGAAATCTTGACCTTACCATGATCAATGGCAAAACTCTCAGGGGAGCCACAATTTTACCCTACATTATCAGCTACTCACCTCTCTTATCATCTACTGTGGATACTGCCTGGATTAGAAGTGGGGCATTGGATTCTGTATACTCCACAAACACCAGCAGCAGTTTCAGTGCTGTCTTTACCACCAGCCGGAACTGAAAGAAGAGAAAGTAACTTGTCATTCAGCAGCTCACAGTACTTCCAGATGTGCTGCATGCCACTCTACCAGATGGAAGCACTGCATTTTGGCTGGCGGCAACAATGTCAACGATATACAGAGAATAAAGCTATTTGAGCCATATACATGAAATATCTGCACAGCCAGCTGGCCTAGCTGTTCGCTGATAGGATACCACTCTCCCCATTAATTGCAGCTCAATTTTAACGCCAAAACTGACACTCCAAAGTGCATAACAAATGTAACCATACATTCCTCATGCCCCTTGATAGTCCCTGGCCAAAGCATGGAAGAAACCGTATGTGCTGATCTGAATGCACTCATCTCCCAACACAGTATTCATCATTCATTACTGGTGAGAGTTTAATATGGTCAGATTTCAAGCTCTTCCTTCTTTTTCCGGAATAGGAAATGACTGTTAGCTGCTTTTCTTTTAATCTCGTATACAATTTTTATTTAATAGACTGAAGTTCATTAAGCATGGGAACAAGGATAGGCGTGTGTATTCTTAACTGTCCCAGAAAACTCTTTTAATAAAATGGACTTTTTGTATCTCTGTGGTGGAAGCATTGAGTTTGTAACCTGGAAACAAGAAAACAAAAACTCCATCAATGAGTGGCCCTCCCATCATTTATTCTCCGAGTTTAGAAATGGCTCAACTGTGGCTACTAGGATGAAATTCTGATCCAGCTGAAATCACTGGCAAAGCCCATTGACTTCAATAGGGCCATAATTTCATCCATAGATTTCTCAATAACAGAGAGGAGGGTTTGTCTATGAGATCATTTCCAAAGTACACTGTGAGAGCAGTTACATGTTTTCATATACACATTCACACACCAGACTTCTGACAAAACCTTCTTCCCTGCAGGGTACATTTCATCAAACAACAAAGAGTGTCACATATAAAAGACAGTTAAAGAAGGAGAACTTTTAAATAGATAGGATTGTGTATGGCTAGTGAAGAAGAACTGTATCAGAATGGTGATCATTCTATTCTATTCTATTCTATTCTATTCTATTCTATTCTATTCTATTCTATTCTCAGGCCTTACAGATGATTGTTTATCAGAAAGTAGATTTTCATTCACATCCTCTCATCTGCTACAGAATGGCCACTTATACAGGTGAAGGTCCATTTTATTTTACTGACACCTGATTGCCTAGCCTTTTGCCTCTGGGGAATTGGTTTGTGGCTGCTACACCCAGAGTTAGGACATGTCCAGTAAAACTATACAGAAGAATCCCATAACTTTACATGCAATGTGGCTATGCATACTTTACCAGGACAATAATGAGCAGCAAAATATGAGTTTTCAGATAACGCAAGGCATACTTCTAAAGAACTATGGTAAATTTTGTAAAAATGGTGAATACAGGAGTACGGACTGTCACACTCAGGCACCTCAGTCACTTTTGAAAATGAGATTCAGGATTCTAAGGCAGCTGGAGCTTAAACTCTATGAAGTGCAAAAATACACCTATACACCTTTAAAAATCTGTATGCAGGGTTGTGGTAGCTGGAGAAGCTTTGGATAAGCTTGAAAACATGTCTTTCTCTTACTAACAGAACTCGACCCAATAAAAATACTGTTTTACCCAACTTGTCTCTAAAAATGTGGGTCTATGTCACTTTCTCAAGATCACTCACGCAGTCCATGGAAGAACAGGGTCTTAACACAGGTCTCCCAGCTCAGCATCCTCATCACCAGACTATCTGTCTAGTGACTCCTTGTTTTAAGAAAGCAGTGAACAGATTAACAAAAATCAGGAGCTTAGTGGTAGTGTTCTAATAATATGGTACAAAACTCAACTCATTAAATGAGTAGTATTTGGGGATGATTTTTATTGCTTAATTATCATTTCAAATTATTAATTAATTTTATAATGAGTTTGTGTCCAGATCAAAGTCTGTTCAGTTATGTAGCACACAGATGTTTAAGCAAAGTCTCTTCCTTGAAAAGCTTTCAACTGAAGATTGAAGGAAATCTTACAGTAGGGCATAACTTTTGAGTTTTCCTAGAACTTTATGCTAAGTCACATGGGTCACTGATGACTGCAACCATAAGAAGGTATCTGGGAACAAAGTCACATACAGCTTCCAACAGACAAAAATTGATGTGATATGCTGAGCTTCAAAAAAAAAAAAAATCCATCTGTAATTCCACTACCTCTTCCAAAAAGCAGACGGCCATTTTGTGATCTCAGCATGCTAATGGTTGGTCATGGCAATCCCATAGCAGTCTAACAAGTCTATTTATTCTTCCACTCAGCTTGCATCTGCTATGCTATAGATCCTGTAAACCCTTAGGGCTAATGTAACTGTTTGAGCCAAATAAGGGTTCTGTAAGTGAATTTATTGAAGCAAAAACAGTCTGACTTTTTTTGAGTGTTCTTTGCAGCTGTTAACCTACTGTGCTTAACTGGAGCCCAGACCATCATTTGGCGGCTGGGCACAATCCAGCAAGCAAGACCAGGAGGAAGAGGTGGTTATGAATTTTTTTCCTTTTAAATTATAGTTTACCGCCTCATATAATTTTGGCAGTGGAAGGATGTTTTAAATTCAGTTATAAAGCTGCACATTTTCAGAGTTCATTTAGCTTCTAACAGAGTAAAAACAGACAAAATAATTAATAAATTGTGGGGAAATAGGTATACGTGAAACTACATGACCAAACTGATTGGTGACACTAGTGAACAGTGGATTTGAATGCTGTTAACTTTTTTAATCTCGTTGTCACCAAGATTTATTGGCAGGGGATGACGCACATTTGAACATAAAATGATACGGAAAACATTCAACTTGCTGATTTGCAGTGAAGTATGACTTTTTATTTAGAATGGGCAATTGGCCCCCAAACTGAATTTTTGGGAGGAAAAGGAACTTGCATTAAACAGAAAAAAAATTGATTTTTAAGTCAAAATAGCTGATTTTGACCATTTTGAAATGAATCATTTCAACTTGTTTTGAAAGAAGCACTTACCTGTGTAACTGTGGTTCTTGAAGATGTGATGCAGAGGTGTATTTCTCTTGGGAGCATGTGCACTCAGCATACTGGAGCCAGAGATTTTTGCCCCTCAGTCACTGTAGAGGGGTAGTGCTAGCGCCTCATGTCCATGGCTTCTCCTCTGGTTATGTGAGGTGGCATCATCCCGACTCCTTCTGTTCCTTTGCATCAAACTCGCAGACTCTGATGCAAAGGGGACAGATGGGGCCGTGGACTGCCCATCTGCATCACATCTCAAAGGACCACAATTACAAGTTAACTGTTCTTCTTCTTCAAGTAGATCCAGTCATCTATTTCACAAACAGACCCAGCAGCGGCTCGGTTCCACAGGCTATTTAAATGAGTACTGCGGAACTGCCTTGCCAAAATTTGCATGTGCTCATGATAACGAGATAATGTTTCATATCAACAACCACGTCGCAGCCCTAAACATATCCAGTATGGAGATGTCACCTAAAAAGCCACTGACAGCTTATGCTCTCATTGAATGACATCACACCCATAGACAGGGCATAGCTGAATCTATTTTGTGTGCAGTCTTGATGCAGGAAATTATCCATGTAGAGACTGTCTGCGAGGAGACAGTTTGTCCTTTCATATGGCCTGCACATGACACATACAGATGAGATGAAGCCTGAAAAGGTTTAGTCATGTCCGCATTAAAGACCAGACACTGTCTATATGCAATGTGTGAAGACACTACCTTCTCTGGAGAGGAAGGTGTGAAACCCCCCCAGAGAAATATACTGCCTGGTTTAAATTAAACTGAGGGTCCACTTCAGACATACACTTCAGGTACAGCGTAACATAATTTTGTCTTTGGAAAACTGTTATAAGAAAGCTTTGCAATCAAAGCCTGCAACTAACACACACTCGAGTCCTGAAGATATTATAGCCACAATTTTTTGACATGAGAGGAAAGATTGATTTAAAATACCCATACACCCAATTTTAATGTTCATATCACATGAATTAGCAATGCATTATGGGGGAGAAGAGGGGCAAAGGGAAACTGGTCCAGGGCACAGAGATACAAAAAGGCCTGGAGCTCCCAGCTGCCACCGCTGGCAGTGGCTGGAACCCCAGGTACTTTAAATCATTGCCAAAGCATCCTGTGGCTCACTGCAGTCATCACTGAAAGCTGCCTGAAGGAGGTGTGGCACTCTCCAACTGTGTTTAAATCATTTAAGCTGTTTCTGAAATATACTGGCCTTCTTATACTTTGTAATATAGAAGGATTCATTGTTTCTTGTGGCGTTTTAAATAATTAGCCAAATTACTTTAAAAATCTGTAGGATACTTGGAACTTTGATTTAACAGGACATGGTACAGTAAGAAAAATAATGAGCAGAAACAGAGCTGCAAAAGTACAACTGTAGCTTCCTGAGAGACAACAGCATCATCACAATGCCATCAGTTTGGGGTTGTGATTAATTCCTTATTTTTTTCCTGTTTCTTCTTCAAGTATTTACAATTTTACATATGAAAAAAATGTCAGTCCTTTGGGGTTATAAATACATGTGCTGACCCAAGGAAACAATGTTTCACTAAGTGCAAGCCAGGTTTTGAGATTGAGCCTGGATTCTTACATCAACGTAGGCCGCAATGTCAATGTTTTTGTCAAGGTTGCTGGAGGGGACAGAAAGGGGAAAGTGATGTTCATAAACTACTTTGTTCTTTTCACATCACTTACAGAGAGGAAATGATATTAGCATTTTCTGGATCTACATTAAATGCCACCATCATTGTAAAAGGGAGGAGGGGAAGGGAAGCAAGGAAGAATCATAAACCCTTTCCTTCTAAGTTTCTTTTACACTGTTCAGAGACTTTGGCAGTCCTTCCTGTTTTATCTGTTACATTAAGACAATAGAAATAATGTGTTACAAAGCTAGCCAAACATACCATGCAACAGAGATGACAACATTAATATTCCAGTGAAGGGCCTCATTCCAATTGTTAATTATTTCCC